ATGCTGAAATCTTTACAGGAGCAAATAACCAGATCTTTTCTTCCACAGAGCAGCTGGTGGGTTCAAACCACTGACCTCTTTGTTAGCAGCCCAGTGCTTAACCATTGTGCCACCAGGGCTCTCTCCATAAAGATTACAGCCTAGGAAACCCTATGGGGGCATTTCTACTCTGTCCTATGGGGTCATTGTGAGTCAGAATTGACTGGATTACACACAACAACAACATAGTAGTTTGCTGAGTAGCCAGATCCTCCCAGAGCCCGGGTTGCTGCTGGATCTGAGGTGTGCTGACCCTGGCACATCGCATGGAGTTGAATGTGATCGAATGAGGGGATGCTGTGGGACAGTCACTCTGCTGAGGACAATCAGAGGCCCCAGAACTCATATTTTTAAAAAAGGAGTGAGTTTTCCCAGCAGAATAAGAGGAGGAAGACATGCTAATAGAGGGAACTGCAAGCTCAAAGGCACAGAGGCATGTGGAAAATGCAAGCAAGCCAGTGTGGCTGGAACGCAGGGTTCAGAGGGAGAAATGATGGGAAGTGGGATGGGAAAGGAAAGGAAGGATTGTCAGGGCTTCTGGAATGCTAGGTTGAGGACTTTTGTCTTTCTGCCATGGGCCAAGGGGAGACTTGTGGGAGAGGGGGGACTCTTAAGGAGGAGGGTGGTATGGTTAGAGGTCACCAGCTGCCATTCGTTAGCCCCTGGCCTGCTTCCTATTCCGGCCATAAACACAAGGAGGTGGGGAGGGAAGAGGGGCAGTCCAAAGCAGCCCTGTAAGACAGCCCACCAGGCCTCCTGACCCCAGCCTGGCCCTCCTCCCACCACACCACGCTCAGTCCCCATCTCTAGACACCCAGACAACCCTCTTCCCCTGCCCCTCATGACAAAGAGGCTCATTTGGAGGCTGGGCAAGATTTGAAAACGTCAAACTTGTAATTACAAGGATGAAATCATCTGGTTCCTTTTAAGCAAACGGGTTTATTGATCCCAACACTGAAGAAATACTATTCTGGGGAAACTTGCTCCTCTCTACTTTCCTCTTCCTCTGGGATGACTGAGCTGGTGGGGGAGGGTTGCAGGGGAGCTAAGGAGGGGGAGAACCCATCTGAGGGGAAATTCTTTAGAGCTTAAGGGTGAATTTTATGGTATGTCACTTAAAACAAAATCCTTTAGGGTTCAGGGAACTGCCTCACACAGGCAGATGACACCCTCATCCTGGACTTAGGCCCCTCTCCTTCTAAAAACTAGAAGCTAGATGGAGCCAGCCACTGGCTCTGTGCCAACCACTCATTTGCCCTCTCTCCCACCCCTCTCAAATCTCGTTTGTGGCTCCAGATCATATTTCAGCTTCAAAATGGTACAATATTCCTTCAGTAACTGAAGGGAAACTGTTTCCTTAGGAAAAAAATGCATTTGAGCCACAGAGACCTGGCAGACTCCACCTGCTCTGTGAAGAGAGGCAAGTGAGGGTGGCTGATGGTACCAGGCTTGGATAAAACCATCATTTCTGCTGGACCTGGGGAGGTAGGACGTCCAGGTCTTGACCTTCAAAGCCAAGAAGGGACAAACAGCTGGACTCAGGGGCAGCACAGCCCTTAACTATTGCCCCTTAAGGATAAGAGCCACATTCAGCCACAAGGCCTTAGGGACTTTCAGGAGCATAGTGGGGTGCTTCCAGGAGGAATGACTCTGGCCCCAGATCTTCATGACCTCTCAGTTCAGTTAGGGAAATAGATAGGACTTCTGGCATCTCTACCAGCAAAGGCCTTACAGTGGAATGGTTAAGAGCATGACTCTGGTGTTAGGCACTTACTAGCTGGGCTGCCCTGGACAAGTCACTCAGCCTCCCTGAGCCTTAGTTTCCTCGTCTGTGGAATAGGGTCAATAAACCAAACTTGCAGCATTGTGGTGAGGAGTGAATGAAGATCATGTGCCCCATGCTTATCCATTTTGTTATCTCTACTAGGTTGGGATCTTGACACTGCCCTATAGTCATTTATTTAACTTTTCAGCTTCCTTATTTGTCAGCTGGGGAAAGGAAGACTTTAGATGGTGAATTAACTGAGACTAGGGGGCATAAAAGCAGCCACCTCAGAGCTTCATAGTTGGGCTAGACAATTGAGGGTTCCCTACCACTTGGTCAGCACTATTGTGCACTCCCTGCTCACCCATTTAAGGTCAGCCTGGGGGTCCTGCAGGAGCAGCTGCCCACCTAGGAGGGTAGGAAGATGCTCAGAAGAGGCTTCAGGCTGCTGAGCCCTTAGGAAAGAATTCTTTAAGTGTAGGGCTTCAGAGAATTCAGTCAGGTTTTTTAGGGGAAGGGTGTTTCTAGGCATCTAGGCAACCCCCTTGGGCTTCCATCTGTGGGCCCTAGAAGAGCTCTTAGAAAACCCCTCCATAGGTTGGTACCTGGACCAATCCAAACCTAGTCCAACAGCTATTAAGAGAACACAGCTAAACATACCTGATGTCTTAGACATCTAGTGCTGCTATAACAGAAATACCAGAAGTGGATGGCTTTAACAAAGAAAAATTTATTTTCTCACAGTCTAGTAGGCTACAAGTCGAAATTCAGGGTGTCAGCTCCTGGGGAAGGCTTTCTCTTGTCTGTTGGCTCTGGAGGAAGGTCCTTGTCGTCATCAATCTTCTCCCGGACTAGGAGCTTCTCTGCGCAGGAACCTTAGGTCCAAAGGACCGCTCTACTCCCAGCACTGCTTTCTTGGTGGTATGAGGTCCCCCCTGTCTGCTCACTTCCCTTTCCTTTTTAACTCTTGAGAGATAAAAGGTGGTACAGCCTACACCTCAAGGAAACTCCCTTTACATTGGATCAGGGATGTGACCAGGGTAAGGGTGGTCTTACAATCCCACCCTAATCCTCTTTAACAAAATTACAATCACAAAATGGAGGACAACCACACAATACTGAGAATCATGGCCCAGCCAAATTGATACACACATTTTTTGGGGGACATAATTAAATCCATGACACCTGGCATGGATGAAAATTTCCTTTACTGTATTAATTTCCTTTAATCCAGTTTTTAAAATATGCGAAAAAATTTACAACAATTAAAAAAAAAAAAAAGGCATACAGAGGTCAGCCAGGGAGATGGCCTCCTTCAGCCTGCAGCTTGTTTCCCAGTTGGCCTGGCCAGTTGGATGCCAGACAACGCCAAGTGTGGGTTACCCTGTGGCTTAGAGGTGCCAAAGGATGTCTGTGGTGCTATTGTTCTGGGTCCACCTGGCAGACTTACCCATTCCTTTCCCTTAGGACATCATTCCCCATCTCTGCGGCCCAGTGAAGCTGATGGTCAGAGCGCCCTGCCCTTCTCTACATTCCCACTCCCCTGGCCCAGCTCCCTAGAACCTAGAAGGGATTTGTCTCCACCCTGACCTTTTCCTCCTCAAAGCTCATGGTGTCTATGTGACCATCTTACAACTTTGATTTATTTCATACTCCCATAGCAGAAACAATTTTTTGCTGGAGTCCAAAAGTCAAGAGCAGCTATAGGTCTATGAGCTCCACCTGGATCCATTTGGAGTAAGAGTACTTACGGGTCATATTTTAGAGACAACAATGGAAAGTTTCATACAAATGTCTACCTACACAAAATATGGTAGTGGTGCTGAATGGGATACACCTGAGATGTTTTTTTTTTTGCCATGGGGACCAGCAGCAGAAACTCCTATACAGTAAGCCTTTGGACAGTCCTTGTTGACTGGGAGCAAAGTCGCTGTCATCAACTGGCCATGTTGTCCCAGTGCCCGCAGGTCTTCTTAGCAGGCCCCAGAAGACTTGTGGGAGAGACAGCAGATGAATGAAGGGACTTCCACTCCTTGTGTCTTGGGGAGAGGCTGGCTCACTCACCTCCCAACATAAGCTGCAGATATTATTAGGCCAGTTTTGTTTGCACTGTACTTGTGTTGATGTGGAGTTTCCCTACCTGTTTGACCAGAACTTTTGGGCAGCAAAATAAAAACATCATCCTTTGCTAAATGTAGTTGAAACAAACTGTTCAGTGGGCCCACAGTGTGTCCCAGTCACTCCTTTTGGGGAAACTGCTCTTCCTGTCTTTCAACCACCAGATTTTCTGTGAGGCTGCCAATCACATAGGGGATGGTCCATAGGGTTTTCATTGGCTAATTTTCAGACGTTGATTGCCAGGCCTTTCTTCCAAGTCTTAGTCTGGAAGTTCCCCTGAAACCTGCCCACCATGGGTAACCCTGCTGGTATTCGAAATACCAGTGGCATATCTTCCAGCATTGCAAGCTACTATAATACAACAAACCGATAGCAGGGTGGTGGCATTTTGTGCTAGATATACATAAAGACTCTTCTATACATAAAGGCTCTCACACCAACACAGCCAGGCTGAGTGTCTGCATTTTGGAAACATTAAAGTTCCAATATTTGCTTAAGGCCCCTAGCAGGCAGGCAGGGTAGCTGAGTGAGATCCTATCTCAGGCCCATCTGACCCCACTAGCAGCGACCTCTCCACCATGATGCCGATTCAATTGGATTCTTTGGTCTGCTTCCAGCATGTCTTCGATGAGCACAGCCTATACTCTTCCCGGGGGGTTTTGGGGCGCAAAGCCCTCAAGCACTCAGGCTCCTTCGGGTTCAGGTGGCAATCTGGAGTTACTCTCCGCGGCCGGGGATTCCAGAAGTTCCAGACCACCGAGGAAGGGCGGAAAAAGGGCCCGCACGGGCCGCTCTTAGCCGCCAAGGGCCGACAGATCCCTACAGGGCGTTTCCACATGGAGTGGCCCGCGGGCTGGCCAAGGGGAAAGGGCCGCGCAGCCTTTGGAGCTGCTGTCGGCCGCAGCCCCTCGGCTGGGTAAACTGGCTGGCAGGGAGCGCATGCGCGTTGCAGGCCGCAGAGTTGTGAATGGTGCGTCTTGTTTGCCAGAGTTTGGAGCGGGCGGGCGCGCGAGGAGGCGGGGTGGGGCCAGCGGGGGCGGGGCTGGCAGGCTAGCGAGGTGGGCGGTGAGAGGAAGTGGCGGCGGCGGCCGGGGGCGGCGAGAGCTGGGTCTGCGCGGGCGGTAGGCAACGGCTGAGGCAGCAGCGGCGACGTGGGTTGGGCTCGAGCGGGCTGCGGCGCCTCAGACTCCCTGGAGCGGGAGCCCACGCGGGCGAGCGGGCGGGCGCCTGAAACAAAGGGAAACGGGAGTCAAGGCGCCGCTGGTGGGCGGTCAGTCGGTCAGCGCCCAGCCGGCCAGCTGGTGTCCGCGCAAGTCTTGAGCCCGGCCGGCCGGCGCGGCTTCAGGGCGGGAAGATGCCGCGCGTCGTGCCCGACCAGAGAAGCAAGTTCGAGAACGAGGAGTTCTTCAGGAAGCTGAGCCGCGAGTGTGAGGTGAGGCGGGCGGGCGGCGCGGAGGCCGCAGCGCGCCTTGAGTGGGCCTGGGCGGAGAAAAGTTTGAGCGGCGCGGCCCCCGTGTGTCCAAGGCCGGCGCGTCCGCAGAGGGGCAATCTCGCCTGGGCGGCCGTCTGCTCGCAGACTCTGCTTGCTCTTATCGGCGCCGCGCGGGGCGGGCGGGAGCGCGGGCGGCGCCGCGGATTTGGCTACTGATTTCGGGCCGTCTCTGCCTTGCAGATTAAGTACACGGGCTTCAGGGACCGGCCCCACGAGGAGCGCCAGGCGCGCTTCCAGAATGCTTGCCGCGACGGCCGCTCGGAAATCGTAAGTCGGCTGGGCCCGGGGCGCGCGGGAGACTGGAGCGCGCGCGGGTCACTTGTTGCGCGGGGGCTGTCGCGGCCCAGGCCGGTTTCGGACGGCGCAGCGGACGCCGCGGCTCCCGGAACTGAGCGGGTGCCGTCTCACTTCCTATTCGGGATTCAAAATGCGAAACCAAACCTTGGCGGGCCGCGTCCTCGCGGGGAGACGCTTTCCCTGTGGCCTCTCCGGGTGGGTTACGTTTCCCAGACAGCGCTCCGCAAGCAGTTTACCACGAGGGGAGCTCAAATCGGAGCCAAACTAAACAAGGAAAGGTCGTTGTGTAGGCTGTGGCGTGGATGAAGGGTTCAGGGTATTTGTACGAAGAAAACACCCATTAGGAAAAAGGATTGGGCTTCATTCAGGGTTCTGGCTGTTAGGAGGTAGTTTGTTTCTTAGAAGTTAGATTTGTTGGTAAATCTATATGTGAATCCATTTTTTCACCCAGTATTGTGAGAACAAATCTTTCCATCAGTTATCTATTGTGCTAATAGAAGAGAAAAAAAACCACCGAAGTGGTAACTTCTTAGTATATTAAGCCTCTGGAAGGATTAGAAACGATTATCGTCTCTTTTCAAACCTAAGAAACCTTAGTGCTGCAGTTCTGAAGAATTGCGTGGATATGCAAAACCCACAGCTGATCTCGTATTTTGTGATAGATTTGATGCCTTGCTTCCACCAAACGTTGTGTTGAAAAAGTTCTCCTCATCTTCATTTGGTTTGTCCTATTGGAGGTGCTGATGAGGAAGGGATGATGAGGCCAAGGAGTGGGTAGGAAGAAACTAAAGAGAACAGGTTGCACTGTCTAATGGAATCCTATAATAATCTTTGTGACTTGAGCCCATGGCATTTGCAAAGACTTGAAGCTGCGGTGCAGTTTGGGTTAACAGTAGGAAGACTTCGGAAAAATGACTCCTCCCACCTTCTTTAAGAGAATCAGTTCATTTTTTTATTGAGCTATAATTCGCATACCATAAAATACACCCCTTTAAAGTGTACGATTCAGTGGTTCTTAATATTTTCACGAAGATGTGCAACCATCACCACTACCACTTTCTAATTCTAGAATTCATCCCTCAAATCAGTTTCTTTTTAAAGAATATTTTGGTATTTAAAATGAAGCCTTTTTAGAATTGTATTATGGATACTGAGAATTTCTGGAATATTTGGTCATTGAAGCCTGTTATGAAAGAAATCTCCAGCACTTAGTCACTTCCGAAGTTTCTTAAGTAGTTATAATATTCATATGATTCAAATGTGTAAGACATAACTTTTGGTTGTGGCACCGAGTGGTAGAAGAATCATTCACTATCTGGTCTAGTCACCATAGCATCCTTTGCCTGGATTTCCTTTTGCAAAAGGTGGATGGTGTACTTCACCAGTGGAGTTCCTGGAGGTGATTGATGTAATTGTAAAAGGTGAGATACAAAGTACTCTAGATATTTTTTAAGACTGAGTTTTGTCAGAAACCTAGTAAGGAATAGCTGTGGGGGTGTTCTCTGTCATACCAGATTTTCTGCATGTAATTATGAATTGAGGGCATAATTTAACCCACAGTATATCTGAATTGCTGTATTATAATATTACTATAATATTATAGAAGTGTTATAGGTTGTTATGCATTTCTTTCCAGGGATGAGTCATATACTCTGTGCCTTCTCCCTCTTCCAAATATCTAATACTACAAATTTTAATAAGTTCTTTATTTCTCACAAGTATTAAACGTTAAAGAAGGTAGATTGAATTCTGTGTAAGATTTGCACGTAAGACAGCACACACTTTATTTTGTTGAATGATGTGATTATTTGTATCTGAGGAGGAATTTCACATTTCCCTCTCTTTCTAGTTTCCCTCTTAATTCAGTATTACCCACAAATTATAGGATTATTAGTTCCTAGAGAGTGGAGACCACAGAACTCTGTGTGTGTGTGTGTGTATGTATGTGTGTGTTTGTGATATATATACACACACACATACGTATGTATATGTACATCTGTGTATATGTATGTCTTCTCTGTAGGTACTTTGCGTAATACCTTTTGCATGGTAGGTACTTGATTGTTTGAATTTATTGGTTGCTTAATCTAATGCCTGAAATTTATTTTAGGATTCAGGAACAGACGGTGGCTTCTACTTATTTGGTTGTGGAAGATGATTGTGGAAAAGATATTATTTTGCCTCTGACAGCAGACATATAAGAATGTACATAGTTCCCAAAATAATCCCCAACCCATCTCCAGTCCTAATTGTCCTTTTTTCCCTCCTGTTTAAAAATTCTTATTTTAAATATCTCCTTAACATACCAATGAGATTAATGAAGAATTTACTTTATACGTAGATGTGAAAAAATTTAAGGGCCGTGATGCTCATCTCTCTTTAACTATAAAAAAACTCCTTATCACAGCCTGCAGTAAAAGTGATCATAGGTAAGAGGTAGAATCTATTTGGTAGAATCTGATTTATTTTTCTTGTAAGTTCTTATAATAGCAAGAGTGTTGGAAATGTCTTCAACAGTAATGATTAATGAAAGAAAAAAATACATAGGAGAAGTATGCTGTCTCTAGTGTTAGAGCAGTAAAAGCTAGTATATTTTTTAGTCCTGAAAATTAGATGGTAAAAAGTATGTTGGATTGGCACAAGGTGTGCAGTTTTATAATTTATGAAGCCTATAAAATATAGTTGGTGCAGTCTGGAAATTGTACATATGGACATTATATCAGTGTACCATTTTTATGTTTTTGAACCAGCTTTTCCCAATTCTTAATGTATGTGTAGATAGTCCATTAAAAAAAAGAGTTCTGTGGTCAAATAAGTTTGGGAACTGATCTTCTAGAGTGATCTGTTTTTACCACTTCTCCTGTCTCAGAAAGAGAAATCTTGATGAGATAATGGACATAAAGTGATGAAGCAGGAAATCTCTTCTGAGGTTGGCATTGAGGCAGGAGGTGAGGTAATGAATTCTGCAGACTGTCTTTACTTAGAGCTATTTTGGGGTACATTGGTAGGGGAGGATTTGTTAGCAGGTGAATACTGAAGAAACATTGCTGAGGGATCTTGACAAAGGGCATTCATTCATGGACTGAATCTCTTGCTTATCTGCCACTACTCTGCTCTGAGAATTTAATTATTTGAGGCTGAAAAACTTGGCTCTTTTATCAAGCTCAAAGTTATTTCTCTTACTTTATTTAGCAAATACCTAAACAGCATTTACTCAGTAAGTACTATTCTAAGCATTTTGCAAATATTAGTTTGTGAGGAAACTGAGGCACAGAGAGGTTAAGTAATTTGCCCCATGTCACGCAGACTGGACAGTTGCCTCCAGAGTCTGTGTATTTCATTTTAACTAGTGTTGATGTGCTTTTGATTTCACTACACTTGGTTGATTTTTAAACTTATGCTAAAAGTGCAGGTAAAAAATTTTTTTAAGGCTATATGAGTGACCATCTAAGATACTGCACTGGTCTCACCTCTTCAGGAGCAAGGGAGAATGAAGAAAACTAAAGACACAAGAGAAAGATGAGTCCAATGGACTAATGGACCACAACTACCACGGCCTCCACCAGTCTGAGTCCAGTACAGCTAGATGGTGCCCGGCTACCACCACTGACTGTTTTGACAGGGATCATACTAGAGGGTCCTGGACAGAGCTGAAGAAAAATGTAGAACAAAATTCTAACTCACAATGAAAGACCAGACTCACTGGCCTGACAGAGACTGGAGAAACCCTGAGAGTATGGCCCCGAACACCCTTTTAGCTCAGTAATGAAGTCACTCCTGAGGTTCACCCTTCAGCCACGGATTAGACAGGCCCATAAAACAAAAACGAGACTAAAGGGACACACCAGCCCAGGGGCAAGGACTAGAAGGCAGGAGGGGACAGGAAAGCTGGTAGTAGGGAACCCAAGGTCAAGAAGGGAGAGTGTTGACATTTCGTGGGGTTGTTAACCAGTGTCATAATATAATATGTGTACTAACTGTTTAATGAGCAGCTAGTTCTGTAAACCTTCATGTAAAGTACAATAAAAAAATTGTTTTTGTCTATTATTATACTGTTGACATTAGTTCAGTCTCTATTCACATGAGATATTTACCACAATCAAAAGGTATCCCAGTTATTTTAGGGAAATGCCATCACACAAGTCTAGAGATGTAGCAGTTAGGTTGACAAATATACCTATAGTACCAATAGTAGAAATAGAAAATATAATTTTTATGTCTAAAGAATCTAAGCTGTTAACCATCGGGGAAGTAGTAGATAGCTGAATCAGCTGATGGCTTTAAACAGACTGCCCAAAATGTGAACCCCTTGCTTTCAGATGAAGACTCTGCTTGGAAATAAATTTATGCGTCAGAACTTTAATTAGTAAAATAAAAACTTTATCTGGTTGTAACAAAGAAGAGTTTACATTTAGATGATTAAAAATGTATTTCCAAAAATGCTTTTTTTGCTTATTTATTTCCTATTTCTGGATTTCCCTTAGGAAGAGACACAGTTTTCTTTCTATTTTTTACATGGGGGAAGTAAATACAGAGTTAAATTGCTCAGGGGCTACACAGCATGACACTTCATTGAAATGGTTTTAGATTGTTCTGTTTGTTGAGCTGTGTCATCCAAATCTTATAAATATTAGATGAACACCTTTCTTTTTTGTTATAGTTGGATCCAGTTCTCTTAAAGTCAAATTTTAGAAAATGCATATTTTTAAATTATCCAAGATTTTAGATGACAGGTACTGTCATATGTTAAGTATGGTTTATCACAGGTTTAACAGTCCCAAGTGCATTTTTCAACATGGAATTTAGAGCATCGTGTTTCTTTAAGCTGGTGAAATCAAGAATTAAGTTGTCTCATTTATACAATTGTAAATTGTTGTGTGCTTTAAAATTCAAAGTCTCTAGATCTTCAGAGATTTTCATATTTAAAAATGTGAGTTTTTAAATGCAAGGTGGTGGCGTCTGGTGAGACATTAGCACCACGCAATCCTAACGTCAGCAAAAAATGTCCTGAGAGAAAGTATTGATTCCATGTCTGATTTTATATTTAAGCGGCCAATGGCAATTGTCTTCAAAATAGAATCAGATGTTTGTAACTTAATACTTAAGAAAAATGATGAGTGCATGTTTTTTACTTTTAAGTATTCTCTGTGCTGCCTGGCTTAAGACATAAACTGATGTAAAAATAAATGACTGCCTGCATAATTTATGTAATGTCCTGCTCCTGATCCTGTTTGTATTGATTTTTCTAAAAGGCTTTTGTGGCCACAGGAACCAATCTGTCTCTGCAGTTTTTTCCGGCCAGCTGGCAGGGAGAACAACGACAAACACCTAGCCGGGAGTATGTCGACTTAGAAAGAGAAGCAGGCAAGGTAGGAAACATTTCTTTGCAATTTGAAATACCGTGGATTGTTTTCATTAGAGATTACCTCAGGATGTACATTTTAATAAAGTAATCAAACAGGTCTTGTTACACACGCATATGATCATTCCATATTATAAAGATGTAATACAGTTTTTTAAAATCATTGTCAAGCATTTGTTATGTCACTCGTTATTAATTTCCTGTATATAACATTCACTGTGGAATATTCTAGTCCTTAAAGAGAATAGTGTACTTTCTTACATGTAATATTTAAAACTTAATTCCTTTAAAAGTATTGACACATTTTTTTGTATTTACTAAAGTGCGTGTGACTACAGTGCTGTGAAAAGATGAAATTAAGAGAAAAGTGGAAAAAGGCTGTGTAGGCTTAAAACTTAGTATTTAGAAATAGTTCATGGGTGACTTTCTCATTCTGTTAATATAGCAAATTTAATTTTGAGAAAAACAGTGTGAAAACTTTAATAATTTCTTTGTTTTGTTTTGAGGAGAAGCTTCTGGGAAAACCAGTAAATGCCTTAAGAATTTTATGTTAGAAGTTTAGGTTGAAGATATGAAAAATGTAGGCGGAAATATTTAAGCTGAGACTTCTATTAAAGTCTGAGTTAAATGTATTATGTGATTTTGGTGAAGTTTTAATGAATAATATCTTGGATTGGTTGATTTTTTTTTTATTTTAAATAATTTTATTTTGTTGTTGTTGAGAATATACACAGCAGAACATACACCCACTCAACAGTTTCTGCATGTAAATTCAGTGACATTGATTATATTCTCTGAGTTGTGCAGCCATTCTCACCCTCCTTTTTGGAGCTGTTCCTCCCCCATTAACATAAATTCACTGCTCCCTAAGATTTCTATCTAATCTTTTGAGTTGGAGTTGCTGTTGTCAGTTTTATCCCAGATAGATAGATCTTAAAAGAGCACAGTGCTCAAGGCAGACATTTCTTTGCTAGTTAAGCTAAACTATTGTTTGGTTTTAGGAAGACTTTAGGGGGTATTTTTGGTTTAAGGTTTAAAGCCTATTTCAGGGTAGTAGTTTCAGGAGTTCATCCAGCCTGCATGGCTCCAGAAGATTGGTTGATCTTTTATGTAGAAGTTGACATTTTAAAAAAATTTTGACCTAATTTTATATTCAGTATTTTTCCTGTTTTCCTTTGTAGTTTGTATACATGCAGTTGTCTTTTATCAACTTGCTAAATTACTTTTCTAAGTGTAGTCATGAATAGTATAGCCTGTCACTTTAGTTGCAAAACTTAAGACTCATCTAAATATTCCTTTGAGGAAATTAAAAGATTTCTTAATTAGGCTGTATTAGGAAAAAGATTTCTAATCTTGTCTATACAATGAAGAGTTTTTGTTTTCTTTAATTTTATGAAATTAGGTTTTATCTTTTGTGGCTGACAAACAAAACAACTAATCTTTGGAGGTGGGGGAGATTATAGGATTTTTAAAATGAGTAATAATCCACAAGTAATTTGCTTTCCTGTTTATTAGTTTGTTTGCTTGGAAAATTTAAGGCGAATGTTCCAGATTTTGCTATTTGATAATTTTATATATAAGGGGGAGTCCCTGGATAGCACAAATGGTTAAGCACTGGGCTGGTAACCAGAAGACTGATGGTTCAAGTCTACGTAGAGGTGCCTCAGGAGAAAGGTCTGGCGAACCATCAGGAAATTTGCATTTTATTAGTACTGGTTTTAGTAGTTGTTTTCTGTAAAGGGCAGAGAGTAAATATTCTCAGTTTTGCAGGCTTTAGATCTCTGTTGCAGCTACTCAATTCTGCCTTTGTTGTGTGAAAGCAGCCTTAGACAGTATGTAAACAAATGAGTGCGGCTGTGTTCCAAAAAACGTAACCCTGGCAGAAATCAGTATCTTTCTCACAGATTTAAATCTGTGAATATGTATGTATAGATCATGTAATTCTCAACAATAATTTTGCCAACACCTGTATTATACCAACAGGATCTAGAAGAAAAAAACATTTTAAGGAAAAAAACACCACTAGTATATTGCTCCATACCACAGAGATAAAATACTCCAGTGAATTTAGAGAAAAGGCACTGACTTGTGTTTTCTCACTGTGGTTGGGGGAGGTATCTCTTATTTCTCTTCCTCCCTTTCTGTGGTCTCTTTCTAATAACTATTAGCTTTTATTTCTGTCCCCACAGGACTAGGACTAGAAGCAAAGGAAATTGAAGGAGCCTCCCCAAAACATTAATTATTTGCCTGTGGATCCCAAATCGGTCTCTTCTTTCATATTCTCTCAACCTAGTTACTTGAAGCATCTTAGTTCTCTTCCCATTCGCACTCAAACTTTGAGAAAACTGTAGTGGTTAAATACTTAGGAGTTAAGCATAGTTGAGTTAAATGTTGGTTTCATTTTTACTGCTACATTTAGTACTCTGTAACTTTGCACAAGTTACTTAACCTTTATGGTTCTCAATTGTAAATTGAGGATAATGCATGCTTTCCAGGGTTGCCTTAAGGATTAAATAAAATAGTGTATGTAAAGTGCTTACCAGTACCTGACACAGTTGTTTAAAAGATTAATTTATTCAGTAGGTATTTATTGAACTGAGCACTGTCCTGGGAACTTGAGATACATCAGTGAACAAAAGGAAGATCCCTTTTATGGAGAGAGTGGAGGAGTAGTAATAAATTATGCAATGTGTTACAAAGTGGTGTTTTGGAAGAAAAGGAAAAGTTGAGTAGGATAGAGATCAATGAGTGCAAATATAGGGAGTTTTACAATTTTAAATAGAAGATCTGGGTAGACTTCACTGAGAAGAACATACCTGAGCAGAGACCTGAAGGAGCTTGGAGAGTGGTGAGCCACGCAGGGGAGAAAGGTGTTCTAGACAGAGAGGAAACAGCCATTGTAAAGGCCCTAAGGCTGGGAGTAAGCGCAGTGTGTTTGATAAATAGCAAGCATGCCGGCCTGGCTGGAGCAGACTGAACAAGGAGGAAAGTAGTAGATGAGATCAGGGAAGTAACAGGGAGCCAATTCATGTGGTAGGCCACTATAACAACATGACTTTTATTCTGAGTGAAATGGGGAGTAGTTGCAGATTTTTGAATAGGTGAATGATATGATCTGACTTGGGTTTTGAAAGAATCATTCTGGCTGCTGGGTTAGTAATAGACTGTAGGGGGCAAGAGTGAAGCCGGGAGACCAGTTGGTCTATTGCAATAATCTTGGTGAGAGACGGGTGGTAGCAGTGGAAGTGGTGAGAAGTCGTCATCATCTGGATGTATTTTGAAGGTAGAGCCAACAGGATTTGCTTATGAATTAGATGTGGGGTGTGAGAAAGAAGAGTCAAAAATGACTCTAGCTTTTTTGACTTGAGCAACAGGGAGTATGAAATTGCTGTCATCTGAGATGGGAAAGGTTGTGGGCAGAACAAGTTTGAGGGGCAGTTTAGGTTCATTTAGGACGTGTGAGTTTGCAGTGATGGCTTATTGCATTTCCTCATCACCACCCTTAAGTTGTTAAGTTATGGCTCTGGTTTTTCAAAATGACCTTTTATTTACTCATCTCAAGAGTTCAGTGGCCTTTTTAAAAAAATCAACCTTATTGACGTATACTTTACCTGTAATCAAATGCACCCATTTTAAGCGTATAATTTGAGTTTTGACAAATGTACACATCCGTGTAAACACCACCACAATCAAGATGTTTCCATCACCTCCCAAAAGTTCCTTCATGCCCCTTCGTAGTCCTTCCCCACCTCCACCCACCCACTTGCATTACAGGCAGCCACTGATCTCCTTTCTAACATTATGGTTTTGCCTTTTGTAGAATTTCATATAAATGAAATTGTTTAGTATGTACTCTTTTGTATCTGCCTTCTTTTTGCTCGGTATAATGTTGAGAGAATCAGTGTTCATTTATTTTAATTTCTGAATAGTATTCCAATGTCTGAATGTACTACGATCTGTTTATTCACCTTGGGATATTTGTATTGTTTCTAGTTTTAGGCTATTTATTAAGCTGCTGTGAACATTCATGTACAAAGTCTGTGTGCACATATTTTTTCATTTCTCTTGGGTAAATTCCTAGGAGTGAAATTGCTAGGCTGTATGGTAAGTGTATGTTAAACTTCATAAGAAACTGCCATATACTTTAACTGCAGTGAATGAGAGTTCCATTTGCTTCACATTCTCTTCAGCACTTGGTATTGTCAGTCTTTTTAATTTTGACCGTTAAGGTAAGTGTCTAATGGAATATCATTGTGGTTTTAATTTGCATGTCCCTGATGGGTAAAGATGCTGAGCATCTTTTTATGTGCTTGTTGGCTGTTTGTGTGGCTTCTTTTGCGAGACGTTTTCTTATTACCGACTATTTTGCACCATGAGAAAAGGAATACATATTTGGACTGAGTGTGACCTGGTTTAATTTTCCACCTTGGCACTTAGTACCTCTGTGGCTGTGGCAAATTATTTAACTTCTCTGAACCTGTTTCTGCATTGTAAAATGGGATAATAGAAGAGCTTAATCTATTAAGTTGTTGGAGAATTAGAGATTGTATGTATGTAAGTGACCTGGAATGGTATCTGGCACATCCAACCCAAAACCAAACCTGTTGCCATCGAGTTGATTCAGACTCATAGAGACCATATAGGATAGAGTAGAACTGTGCCATAGGGTTTCCGAGGAGTGGCTGGTGGATTCAAACTGCTGACGTTTGGTTAGCAGCCATAGCTCGCTCTAACTCCTAACCACTGTGCCAACAGGGCTCCTGTGTCTGGTACATAGATGTAATAAATTAGGCTGTTAGTATTTTTTCCAGTGTTCGACGGTATTGGTAAAATCTCCTTCATAAAATTCTTTGCCTTACTCTTTTTTGCTTAAAAAATTTGTTTATTTCGTTGTTGCTGAGAATATACACAGCAAAACATACACTGTTTCAACAGTTTCTACATGTACCATTTAGTGACATTAATTACATTTTTCGAGTTGTACAACCATTCTCATCCTCCTTTTCT